CCTCACGTTCCTGACCCTAGTACCGTATCCTGTGATTTAGCACTAAGAGAGCGTTACGATGGCTGAGCGGGGAGGCGGGGACCCCTACGCAAACCTGACGGTTCAAGTCTCTCAACCCTTGATTATGCATACCCGATACCCGTTTGTTAGCATACAGAAACAGCACCCAACCACTAATCTACAGCGTATTTATGTATGACAGGACAATGTCCCGTCCGCTGGATATAGACCAATTAACGTACAAGTTGAGTAAGTGAACGTGATCCACTCTCAGTTGCCGCAACAAAATTTCCCCCACGCGACATCATCCCATATCACAAACCGTATTCAATCAATTACCATGATACCCCGACTTGCCGTATTCCCCGAGATTCCACCACCGTTGGTGATCCCTAGCGCGATTTTTTTTTTGCAGGCGTGCTGCTTCATCCCTCCTCCCGGGTGGGAGGAACCTCCCAGGTTTCCAAGGTGTGGGGATTGTGTCCTGGTTTTTTCTTCTTCTTTTCTGTAAGCCAGCTTCTCGGGACGAACTGTATCGTGACATCCTCGCCGATTTGTTTCTCATTACCAATTTGTTTTACCCATCTTCCTGTCCCTAATGACGGTGCTTGATCCGGTGATATTCCCCTCGTGTTGTTCCGGTCTTCGTAGGGGGTTTAGATCTTGTGTGGTTACTAGCATCAGACATCGCCTGTCGGCCGGCCCGCTATCGCGATGGGAAAAACAGCTTGAGTTGTGTGCCCTTGCACGTATTTCTTCCTGTTTGACCCTGTTTGCATAATTCGTTTTTACGGATCCGTGGTGGAACTCCCGAAAAAAAAAAAAGGAAAAGAGTGTGGGGTTGTGGTCGAGAATGTCCGCCCGGCTCGGTGGAGCGTTCCACAGGTGTAAGGAGAGCAACTTGCTGAGCTAGATGTGTAGGCTATCATATCAAAAGACCTAGAGTTGGGTGTGTCCGACCCTCGCTATCATATCGTAGTTTCGAAAAGCATGCTTTCATAAATAATTGCTTTTAGTCACTTTTTATTTTTTTATTTTATACGAGTTCTGGTACTACACCTAGTTCTAGTGCACCCAGAGAATGGAGTATATCATAGCCAAGCATCTAAAGATCGGGTGTCCAATGCAAGCCAGCATAAACCCCTCTCTCTGTGAGATGCTCGGGATCTCTCTCTCTCGCCCCTGTCCTCGCGCTGTACCGAGCAATAGCCGAAGAAGGGAGCGGGTGGAAATTTTCCGAGATTCCCCAACTAGCGTTCTAGTGGTTCATGGATCGATTAAAATCCTACAGTAGATATGTTAGGGCCCTAACTAGTTAGGAAGCGCATCATAAAGCCCGGTTTTGGTGGGCAGCGTCTGCATCGGGAGGCTCCTTTAGGATTTGTACGTACGGTGCTTAGGATCACGAGGAGTTTCTTAAGGGGGGTGGTTATTCGGCTGCCATCCCGTGACAAGTATCATATCATAGCTAAGTGAGACAACTTCCTTGGGGATACTGGTATGTTTTGAGCGGTCCAAAAGGTGCATGCGAGAGATTCAGTGGTTTTCGAATTCTAAAGGCTCAACCACAAACATAACTAAAAAATTGGTTTTTCTAAAAGAAGGAGAGGGGGAATAGTGGAGAAAAAGTTGCATTTTCGTTAGGGGACACAGAAAAGTGTCATAATATTATTATACTGTACATCAGCCACACCTGATATACTTAAATTTAGTAATCATGTATGATATTGGGTAGCGAGTAGGGTTTCAGGTGATTATATGATAAACAAAAAAAATCTCAAGCCAGACACTGGCATGGAGTAAACCCAAGATCTTTGAAAGCTATCGTTCCGGTATCTAACACTGTTCATTAGGTACAGTGCTGTACCCATGTAAGACTGTATTCCTATGTAAGATGGAAGCATTTCACAACCCAGCAGCCCTGGCGCATCTTGGGAATGCTCTGCACCGTACGGTAGTAGAAAAATAATCGGATCCCGTTATAATAGTACTACTGCATCGAGGACCGGGAAATTTGTATGAGGAGCTGCTAGGACAGTTATTATAATTGGTGGTAGTGACTTCAGAGTGGTTGTAGGAGCTTTACAGGCTTGCGGGACATCCAGTTAGTAATGGGTTTACATTAGATTAGTTGTGAGGTATTGTGCGAATGGAACGACTTTGTATCAGGAATTTGAGAAAAATGGGATCCGGTTTTCGGTGAGGTACTGCACAGTACCAAGGACTGAAAAGTGAGTTTTTAGTCCATTCATGGTGTGAGAAGGAGCAACCACCAAGACTTTTCCCCGCCCACTGTACGATTTCTCTCCTTATATTTTCGTCATTGTGGGTGGGGATATCGCGCTAGTTACACCCTCACGATCATCGTCGGTGCGGTATTGAGGGTTGGTCATATTTGTATACCACATGGCGCTTCGACTGGCCCGATCCATCGTGATACTCTCTTTGAAACAGTTTTCGATTGGAAATGATTTGCCGGCGCTGTTAACTATATTCT